TTGGTGGCTTCGTTGGGCCTCTTGGGTGGGGTTGGGGCTCCTTGGGAGGCTCTTCGGCCGTCTGAGGGCGTTCCTGGCCCGTCGGAAGCCGTCTTGGGGGCCTCTCTGGGCCGTCTTGTGGCGGGCCTTCTTGGGGCGCTTCAGGGCTGCCTTCGAGGAGATCTTCAGCGTCTTGGAGGCCTGATGGGCCGTCTTGGGGCCCTTTTGGGGCCGTCTTGGGGTCCTCGTTGGCCGTCAGGGGGCTATCTCGGAGGCCTCGGCGCTCTTGGGGCCATCTTGGTGGCCACTGGCGCCGTCTTGGGCCCTCGGAAAGCCGAAAGGAAGCCCATTCCAGAACCTTCAGACCTATGTGCAATTAATGGTTTTGGCCTCTTCGGACCTTCCTCGAGGTCCTCTTGGAGGCCTCTTGGGTCGTCTTGAAGGCTTGTTGGGCCGTCTTGGGTGATCTTGAGGCCATCTTTGGCGTTCTCGGGGCCATCGTTGCCATCTTGGAGACCATCCTTGCCGTCTTGGATACCATCTTGGGGCCGTCTGGAGCGGCGAGGTGACTTGGGAAGTCTACGGGTCCTTATGTGGAGGGAGAGCCGACGGGAGAGACTTTTTATGGGTCCTTCCGGGTGGTCGGCGCGATCGGCCGAACGCTCATGGGGAATTTCTTAAAGCATACATAACTACCTAATATTTGGCACGCCGTGCACCCCTGCAGCAAGCCTCAGGGGGCGGCGGATATCTAGTGGCCTTCGGCCCATCCCGCCACTGCGCCTGGGCTGTAGGTAAGAGGCATCTGGGATGCCTGTGGGGATCTCTCGGGAGGCCTCTCGGAAGCATCTTGGATTTGGTTTTGGAGTGTCGTTGGGGTCTCTCGGCCTGCCTCTCGGGGGTCTCTTTAGAGCCTCTTGGAGCCTGATTTGGGCTTCTTGGGGGCCTCCTGAAGGTTGTGGTGGGCCTCCTGGATGCCTGCTGGCGGTCTCGGGGAAAATCTTGGGGTCAAGGGCTCGAAATGTCGGTTCGTGTTCCCCCTCTAGGCCATCTCGTGGACCGGCCATATTGGGCTTCCGGGGGCCTCTTGGGCCGCTTCGGGGCCATCTTGGGCCGGGCCCCTTGGATGTCCTGGGGCCATCTTGGGGGCCTTTTGGGCCGTTTTGGAGCACCGAAAGTTTCGAAATGTGAGAATCGGGAAATTCTTTACAAGCCTGAGGGGAGTCACTGTTTTTTGGCCTCTTCGGGCCTTTCTGGAGTACCTCTTGGAGGCCTCTTGGGCCGTCTTAGGGTCCTCTTGGGGCGTCTTGGGGCTATCTTGGGAGTCTTGGAGCGATCTTTGGGCGAATGGGGGCCATCGTGGCCCGTCTTGGGGGCCTCTTGAGGCACCTCTTGGCCCGTCTTGGCTCTTTCTGACCTTCGGGACACCCACGCGACCGACCCCAGGGGCGCCAAATAGCGCCCAGAAGGTGGAAATGTGGACCCTCGGCCCTTGAACCAATCATGCTTACGATACTCTGCAGAGATCCAGAAAGGACCTGGGAGCACTCCAATTCGCGCCTCAGGGCACAGGGCGGATGTTCGTACACACGCACACACTGGGTTTAGAGGCTCGCTCCGCTTTGCCTGGTATATTAGCCCACTCCCTGCACGAGGGGGCCAAGGTGCTGAGGAGGCTCGAACGCAGGAGAGTTGGATGGCGGATGGACGGCGGATGGCAGGAGGAGCGGGGGTGCCGGCGAATGGAAGGGAGAGGAGGGACTTGGAGGCGGCCCTTGCGGCGAAGGCGAGTCAGGTGTTTCTGTAGCCTTGGTCCAGGTGGCAAAGGTAGGTGGCCGCAGAGGCGGGAGCTGCAGGAGCGGTATCGTAATTAGGACTTGAATTCGCAGCAGCAACAGCAGGAGCAGTAACAGTAGCAGTAACAGTAGCAGCAGTATCAGTAGGAGTAGCAGTAGTAGTAGCGGTAGCAGTAGCAGTAGCAGTAAAAGTAGCAGTAGCAGTGGCAGTAGCAACAGTAGTATAATAGCAATAACAGTCTCTTGTTGAAGGAAGAGCAGCTCGGGCAATCATTGTGAGATGGGCGCGTTGCCCAGGCACGTTCAGTGCGCCGGGGCTTCGTTTGGCCACTCGGCGCATTTTCAATCTCGAGCGGCCATTGCCTCATACCAAAAAGCGGGAGAGCTGCCAGAGGCCGCCGCCTGTGCGAATGAAGCAGCTGATCCAGCCGTGTATCCGTAGCTGTGCCTCCGCTGTTCGTACGCAGCCCTTGTGCAAGCTCTACTGCGGCATCCCCGCGCCAGCGTTCATGGTCTGAGCGGGCTCCTCGCTGTTCCACCTCGCGCTCTGTTCCTTTCCCCCTTTGTGTCTCGATTCGTTCCTGGTGCATCCCACCGCTTGTAAAAACAGTATCCGTAGTTGTGCTCTTCCGCAAGCAAGCCTTTCATTCTAATTGCTGTGAGTTGTAGATGACATCCCGGAAAGTTCAAAGGGCCAAGCATGCAGGCCATTCCCGGTAGCGAATCAGGTCACCCTGCGTCGCAAAAAGAGAGCATTTGCACCAGCACGTGGCCGAGTTCTGATCCATTCTGCGCGAAGTTCAAAGCAACCCTCGCTATGACGGCCTTCTGGAATTTGTCTTGTCTGCCAAGTACACCACAAGTGGTTGAAGGCTGCCAAGCTGCATGACTTTGAAGTCATTATCGCCCACATGTTCCACAAAGGGAAGGCTTGACGCGGTAGATTGTTCCTACTTGCGTGCGAATCTTGGTGGCATTAAGGGATCCACCGCCGACGTAGGATTGTCCTTGTACTTGCAGACAACAAAACTATTAAGACATGCGCGCGGGAAATATTGGTGACGTTCCGCCGCTACACCACTGTTGGTTCATGATTCGGAGAACGGTATCATTCCGAGTGTAGCAGCTATCAGATACTTGGGACGTTTGGTTCACTGGACAAATGTTTCGAGAACGAGCTCAACAACATAATCCGGAAAACCATGGACAGTGCATGAACTACAGAAGCAAGGGTTGACCAGCCGATCGTATGTTGTGGAGGACCGAATTCAGGTGATCGACAGCACGGTGGTGCCCACGCTAACGCTACTGTATGGAAGCGACGCTAGTTGTGTGACGCGCGACGTAGAGCATAACATCACATGTGGGCAACGGAAAATGTTTCGACAAATGTTAGGAGCAAAGAGCCAAGTATTACCATGGGGCGGCGCACCCAGTGTTGAATTTGATTGCGCCGACGTAGACACAACCATGAACCAGAATCGGACTGCACATCCTCAAGTGTTGCAGAGACTGCGCAAATCGATCCTTGTCCGAGATTTACCAGAAGGGCGACGCGGATGGCTGAGGAAAGTGTGCATGCGACGCGATGTGTTGTTTCATATGTGCACCTGCAAGGGCGACGCAAATGGCAATGGGGGCCAAGGGCAAACATGCTACGTGCTCGGCACACTCTGGAGCAGTATTGGACGGTTCCCGGCGCCGGAAGGACAAGGAGGGGGACAAGGAGGGAGAAGGAGGAGGATGGATGGAGGAGGGAGGGAGAAGGAGGAGGAGGAGGACTCATAGGTGTTCCAAACGGTATGGTGAGAATGAGAGAACACCCACCATTATTCCTCCGCCTGCTTGCGTTCCCGCGCTGGTCGCGCGATGGGTCGTCTAGTCAGACCAGGGAAAGCGGGTCGCCGTAGGTTCGCGGAGAATGGACGGGCGGGCGGGTCCGAGACTCGCCCCCGGAAGTCTCGTTGCTCAGCCTTGCATCGGCCCCCCGTTGCCCGAATCGCGCCATCCTGTGGTCGCAACGGCATGGTTGTGGGTGGGCGGGGCGGATTGCCGCCTCCCTTGAAGACCCGTGCCCGGCCTGTGCCTGCGTGCCCTCGCCCACCCGAGGGAGGGGAAGGGCAAGTCGAGGTCCGAGCGTGACCACCCACAGGGCCCTTGCCTGGGCCCGGGCCCAGGCCCAAATAGAACATGAATGTGACATGCAAGCCAATGCCCACTGCTACTACACCCGCGAAGGGATTGTTAGGCAAGACGACGAAACATGTGCTGCACTCCATCCTTTCCTGCTCGCAGGACGAGCATTTCTTCCCTGACTGTAGGTTCCATTGCTATGCTATGTTCTCCCACTCGTACAACACGCGCGCGTGTTGTTCGCGGAGGAAAGAGGAGCAGGAGAAGGATATGCGTGCACGGGAATGGTTGGGGGCAAGGCGATCCTCAGTGTGTGCGTGGGCGGTGGGAATGTATGGCATGTGCCAGAGTTTGCGGGGTGGCCTCGGCGTCTGAGTTACCCCGCGACAAGGTGCGCAAGTAGATGTGCACCGATTCTGCGGCACGCGTGGCACGCATTCCCTCAAAACGTCGATCTGGGCACATTCGAAGCACTACAAGTAATATTGCACGACATCGTGTTAGCTCATTACTCAGTGGTGTGACTTGTACTTATTGTGTTTCTTTGCTGTCTCCGTCCTGCTGTCTCCGTCCTGCCGGCATTCCGCTGTCTTCCTTGTTGTTTCTCAATAGTGTTTTTGCGCGTCCGTTGTTGCTGTATCTCGCATGATATTCCCGACTTGTCCAACAGTGTTCTGTCTTACTTCCTGAAACCATCGGGTTGTGGTCTTTGTGAGGAAAATTGAGCACGCCAGAAATCAGTTCTGTGTAAGTATACAAGCTCGATGGATCGATCCTCGATCGATCCACGATCCACCTCCACGATGACAACGACGACGATACGGTTTACTATTTGGCAGGCCCTCCGCCGATGCGCGCAGAAGTCGGCAGGATTCGGGGGCGGCCTTCCAGGAAGGTCGTCCTCGTGGAAGCTGTGGAGAAGCAGCCGCACGCGCACCCTGCCCTCGCAGGCTTAGATGCCGAAGGACGCCTGCATCCAGGTGAGACCCCCAACAGGGGTGCCCGCTCCCCAAACGCATGACCTGTCGAGGAGCGAGCGAGCCCCTCCTCGGAACCCCCCCCTTGCCGCGCCTGCCCGACGCGCACGCAGAGGAGCTGAGCGCCGCGTGCCGCCCCGGCTGCGAGACGCGCCTCGCGCGCGCGACTGGCGCGACCCTGAGCAGCATGGAGGAGCTACTGCGGCAGGGGGGGTGTCAACCTCGAGGGGTCGACGACGACGGCCACAACCGACGACGACGACGACGATGGTGACGACGGCCACGACGGCCACGACGGCGGCGGACTCGTCAGAGCTCTTCCTGGGGAGGGGGGGCAGACTCACAGCAGGGTCGTCGTCACCGTCGGCATCCGTTGCTGGCGATCTCGGGGCCCATCTGGGCATCGGCGGCTTCGTCGTCCGTGCGTTCTCTTTCGGCCAAGGGGGAAGAGATTGGAACATGGTCGCCCTCCGTGACACACACACCAATCATAGACGTACATCACTATTAGACATACACCAAGAGATTGAAGATGCCTGCGACGAGTCATCGACGGCCCGAGGCTTTTGGACACGTCTGCGTCGTCAAACGTTGAGCAAGCGTGCGTGTTCCCCCATCTGTCGGGGAGGCCGCCAGGAGAACACCGTGGCGGGGCCCATCGTCCGATGGCGCTCTTGGGCCTTCTGGCGCCTTGAAAAGCTGTCTTTGAGGCCTCTCGGGCTCGTCTTGGGGTTGTCTGAGGGCCTGCGTGTGCCGTCTTAGGCTGATCTTTGGGGCTTTGGGGGCCGTCCTTGGACGCTCGGAACACCGAAAAGGCGAGAATCCGAGTCCGAACGCATTGAAGCACACTTTGTGTTTCTATGATTCGGACCTCTAGGGCCGACCTCGGGCTCCCAAGACGGCCGAACAGACCTCCAAGAGAGCCTCGTGGACCCCCTTGGGGCCACCTTGGGACCACCTTGGGGCCACGCTGTCTGTCTGGAAAGCGTCTTGGAAGCCATCTGCAGCCGTTTTGGTTCATCGCGGAAACCATCCTGGGTCGTCTTAGACGTCCGAGAAGCAGGTTTTGTGCATTGTTGTGCGGGCTCGTGTGCTCCTTTCCGAGGGATTCTGCGTGGCTTGCCGAACGGGCCGAGTGGCAGTGGGATTCTTCTAGAATGCCACCGGAAGAATGTGTCATGCGTCTGCGTCGCTGGGTATATTTCAATGGACATTGGTGTTTCTTCTGCGAACCCTGCCAAAAAGAAGTCAGAGGCAAACACCACTCCACCGAACCTACTTACCTTTCTCAGATGATACGTACGAAGGAAAGTGGCTGGCCTGACCCCAGAAGGTACACCAGTGTTGGCAACATGTGGATCCGCATGCGAGAGGCTAACCGCAGCCAAAGTCACCAATCAGACAGTGGATCACCTGAAGTGGAGAGGTTGGCATCTCTCTGAGACGTACATAGTGGATGGCACTCGTCACTTAACGAATGTCCAAGTCCCCGGGGACTGGAACCATCTGCCGCTCAGCTACCCCTTACCCTGCGACCTTCCCGGCTACGTCTGTCCCCAGGGCACTCTGCTCAACCTCCGCGTCACCCGCAACCCCTTCACCGCTGCTCCTTGGCGCCCAGGTGACCCCCCAGCTGCCGAGACCATCTCTCCTCCACCGACCGACCCCCCCCCCCCCGACCCGCCCTCCCACCCGCCGAGCGTCGGCCCCACCAGCACGTCCGCGTGGCTCGCCACTACTGTCCCCCGCGGGGTTACAAGGAAACGAAGCCGAATCCCACGCAGCCCAAGGCCTGCAACTCAAGCCTGGACCCAGGAACAAACGGCACCAGACCCCCCCCATCTCATCGCCGCGAGGGAGATCCTGCAGCTCTACGAGCTCCCCACCACGGAGCTGGGGGCAAAGACGCTCGTGAATCAACCTCTTTGCCAGGTCTCAGGTGCCATTCGTCCCCCTTTTGACTGGCCGCAGACCGTGCAAGATCGGGGCTCACGCCTCCAGCGCATCATGCGGATTGAAACTAGGACACCCTTGGAGCCTTGCGACGACGGGCCCCGCCGACTCCGCAACGAACTTCAACGCAGGCAGTCCGTGGCACTCGGCGCGTCGTACACCGAACTGGAAAAGCACGCGCGCACACGGGGCTGTGAGGCCGACAAGATATCCGACAAGGTCCAGCCTTGTGACAAGTGGACTTAATTTCTATTGACATGGGACCGCAAGCACTCCATCAGGCACAAGAACTCCGACGGCCACTGCTTGGAGAAGTTGATTCTCTCTTCCACGGGGCCCTCGGAGGACGAGGTCGCGGTGCTCGACATGGCGCGGCCCGGTCTAAAGGAGCTCGGGAACCCGTTGTCCGACGCCGACTGCAAGCGCATTGGCGTCAATCCGGGCCGCAGGTACCCATCCGATATGTGCCTCGCCAAGTACAGCCACGGAAAGTTCGGCCCTTTCCACCCCTACAAAAACGTTGCGCTCCCCATTGGCCAGGCATTCCCTTCACTGCACCGTCTGGACAGGGCCCTTTCTGAGCTGCAATGCTGGAGGCTCCACGAAGCCGGGGAGGGGATCCACCTGAAGGGACGCGACCCCCGGGGCCTGTTGGTGAACGGGTCGCAGACGAGCAAGCGGCCAACATAATCCAACTGGTGAGAAGCATAGGCCCCGCTTTGCGGCGCCGCGCCGCCGCCGCGCTGGGCATTCCCATCCCCGACCCCGACACCTCCGACACTGCCCTCCCCGACCCCGCGGGTGTCTCCGCGATCGCCGCCAACGACGTCGAGGAGCGTATTGGGATGGTCCTTCAGCGCCCCCGCAGCGCGCCATCGGCCGAGCAATTCAACCGCGCTGCGGTGCCTTCTGTCTCGGCGAGCTCTCCATGCAGGTCCTCCACTCTGGCAGCGACCTTCACGTCGCCCTGGTTCACGGCCCCCCTGGCTCTGGGAAGACCAGCGCGATCGCCGCGATGGTTGCAGCGTGGGCCCCCACACTGCCCCCGGACAAGCTGTCGGCGTCTTCTCCAGCTCAAACACCGCTGCCGACCAACCCCTTTTGGCCCTCGCTCCCAATGGCAGGCGCCTCTTGAAGGAGATCAGGCACCCTCGCGCCCATCTGCGACTCGCTCGAAGGGTCAAAGTCGACCGCGGACTCATTCAACATGCCCCAGAGGGCCAATACTTCGACGCCCACGGCCCCCCCCCTGAGTTCGGAGACAACGCGGCCTTCAACAAGTTCAAGAAGGAGGTTGTGGAAGGCGCGGCCGCCATCTACGCGACCCACGAAGCGGCCGCAGAGCTAGGCGGGAAGTTCTCCATACGCATACCAATAGGTATCAGAGACGTAGCTGGGCAAGCCAGCGAGGCTACCGGCCGCTTACCCCCTGCGCTTTGCAAACAGCAATGAGAGACGACGAGCACGCAGGGCCCTCTCCCTACCTACGGCCGCCCCTCCTTCCCATGGCTCCGACACGCTCCTCCCCGCTAGGTGCAGCTGAGTACCGCCGCCGCGGCACCTCCAGCACCCCTTCCCCTGTAGGGCCCCCCCGAAGGGGCCGCTCACCTACTGCCTCGGTCCAAACTTCTACGCGTGCTGATTCGGCGCCCAATCCCAGAGACTCCAACTACGCCCCCGGGCGGCATGGACGGGCGCGCGCCTTCCATCAATGGGCCAACAGCGCCAACGGCCTGGACTTGGACTTCCCTGGCATCAGGCAGATCGCCCACAAGCACCTGGCCTCCGGGGCCCTCGCCCTCTCCACTGTCGATGCAAGCCGGGGTGGTGAAGCTGACTTAGTCATCTTCCTCACCGCGCGGTCCAACTCGGACCACATGTGGGGCTTCGTGGACAATCCCAACAGGGCCAGCGTGGGACTCTCTCGGGCGAGGAGGGGCGTTGTGATCGTCGCCGATGGCCGCGTGATGCCGTCCATGGCAGACTCCAAGCTCAAACTGCTCTCCAACTACGGGCGCCTCGCGGGCCTCTGGGCGCGCTTCTGCGCGCCCCCCGGCCAGGGCCCAGGCAAGCGCAGCACGCTTATCACTGACGACGCTTTGAGACCAATCGAGGACCCGGCCTCCTCGGCGCCTCCGAACCCCGAGATCCCCTCGTCCACGGGCGATGCCGGTGCGAAGGACTCACATGAAGTGGCTGCGAGACGTGACCTCCGCGCGAAGTGCTTAAGCGCGCAGTGCGACCCTCCCCTGACTCCGAGCGCAGTCTATGATTACCACCACCAAGATCGAGAATATTGTTCGATGCGATGTGGTGCAGTTTTGCTCTGGTGAAAAGCCCGCAGCCCCCCTTCCGCCGCCAGCGGCGCGCCGGCTGCCCCCTCTCTCTTAAGGACCGAAACAAAATTCATCAAAGCACGCGCGGTGGTGGTGTATATATATTTTGTTACCAAGGGGAGCGATTTTTATACACCACCACCAAGAAGTGATGTTTCTGCTTCAGGAACTCCCCATGCCACGGTGCCTGCGAGGTGCGCCGCGCTACTTTTCGCCGCGGCGTCGCAGCGTCGTCTGGCATGTCCCTCCCCCTAATCCTTGTTGCGGAAAAATATTGTTGCGAGCGGTGGTTGTGTATACAAATTGGCCTCGCACTAACTGGCGAGCCGCGCTGGGGCGACGTCGGGTTTCGCTTGGCAGGGGCACTCGATGCGGTCTTCACTGACCGTGCCTTCGCTATCGCCCTCTTCCTCGTCGCAGGATTGCATCCCATTAATGCAACGCCGAAGGCACCCCTTCCGACCCCGGATAGTTTGACGGAACACTTTGGAGCCACCCGGGCTACCTTTACGACTTGGGCCTTGGTCTGGGCGCCGGGAATCTGGCGTGCAACATGACATGGGCCGCCATCGTCTGGGCCGCGGGCCCGGGAACGGGCGGGAACGACGCCGCGCGCGAGATCGAGGATAATGAATTGCCGCCGAGGCCCGAAGTCCAAGGACGTGCCCTTCGGAGACCACAGAAGAAGAACCGCCGCACACTCCAGAACCTCCTGCACCACGCCCCCAACGCCTGGTCCAAAGGGGCCAGGACTTGCCCGCGCCACCTGGTGCACCCTGGCTTAGAAACCCTGGTCGACCTCCTAAGGGGCCAGGGTGGGATCACAAGCGAGCAGCTGGAGCTGCTCGACCCCGACCAGCGAGTCATGTCCCCCGAAAAACCCCGCTGCGTGCTCATCATCATGCTGGTCATGAAGCGCGAACCTCGCGCCCGCGTGCGGCCGTTTCCCGACCCTTCAGGCTCTGGGGGTCATCCTGGAAGCCATCCTCGGGATCTGCTGCCCGCGGCAGGGCAGGCATCGCCACTTTCGTGCGCATTTGGCCGCCACCTGGGGGCAACAGCTGTCCGACCTACGGGGCCTACACGGGAAGCTTGAGGCACTGATCGGCGCTGCAGCCAAGCTGGTCACCGCCGCCCATCTTCACCCAGCCGCGAGGAAGGCAGGCTGCCCAGCCACCTATGCAGGCATGGAATTCTTCGCCTTCAAGCTCTAGGCCCCGATGCTGGTCCTCGGGAAAATCGCGGCGCCAGCCAACGTCGGCACCCTCTCGCACGCGGATGGCAGCATCTGCTCTCTACAACAGGTGCTCACAGGCAAGGAGTGCGCCCCTGGACCAAAAGACTGCCCCTCTGAGGTCACCTTCCTCGGCGGCGGGTTCTCCTTCGGCCGCGCCCCTCTGGACAGAGCCCCACCACCGACCCCACTCCCCTCCGTCGCCAAAGCTCCCCCCTACCTTGCACCGGGCGATGCGCGCTTCAGCGCTGATCGGAAGACAGCCGAGTTCCAATGCGACCGACCACTGTCACAAAGCCCCACTCTCTGCACTACGAGGGCACCTGGTGGGGCGACAACAGCCGATCATATCTTGCGCCCGACCGACTCTAGGCGCACGCGAACGGCCCGCGGCCCTTGCTGGACTTCGGCCACATCGTGCCCGCGGACTGATCCCTTGCCGGCTGCGTTCAAGCGGCGGCCCAGGCCAGGAATCTTACCCGGCCCCCGTCTGCGCGCAAGCTCCCCCCCACCGCCCCCCGGCTCGCGGCCTCAGCGCCCACTGCGGCCCTCGCAGTGGATCTGGGCGACTTCCCACTGAGCCCCAGGGGCCTTCACGATCCCAAGCAGGCCAACACCACTAGTCCACCCACTCGCATTGACGACGACGGGTTCGGGTTCTCGGCCCACACTACCAAGCGCTATACGGCGACGCGCGACAGTTGTCCCCCCAACGCCCCCCCGTTGACATGCGAGGCAGGCACGCTCGCACTTGGCCGTTTCGCATGGAAGGCGGACGCGGAGTTCCGGGCTACAGACGCTGGGGGTCTTCCAGCGTGGGCCGATCGGTCAGTCGCCCGGACGGGCCGCCATTGGAATGCCACCTGGATGTGCCGCCCATGCCTCGTGCGCGCGTGGGGCGTCAGTTCCGGCTCTGTTGATCGACTCCTAGACCAGCGCTCGCACCTCGTCTACCCTCCCGACCCCTCCCACAGGCCGCGGAGCGCGCCACTCGCTCCCGACGTGTACTCACTCACTAACGAGTTCTCACCCAACCGGGCCTTCGTCGCCTACGCCGCCCCGCCCAGCCAGGGCGAATGCGTGTCCAGCGGCGACGCCCATAAAACAAATGCACCTCCCTCCGTGACCGACGAGGCCAAAGAAATACTCGGCCTGCTTCCTGTCGCGAGCATGCCGCGCGGGCCGGGGCCAGGGAACAGCCTCTCCCTGGAGGCGAAAGAGGAGGACGGAGCTGACCATTCGGACACAAGGCCCATCGATGTCCGCATAATCGAGTTTATGCGGGACCTGCATCCGCGCCTGGACGATCGTTGGCGGGATTACACAAACGCAGATGGGGGAGACGCGGTGCACCCCGATGACCCAGGGATTTGGACACCGCTCCAGCTACGTCCCTTCCTGAAGCTGATCTATGGAGAACGGGTGCCATCATCCTGCCTTCCCAAGAGCACCCACTGGCAGGGTAAACGGCTAGCTGCCGCACGGGCGGTCGCCAAACTCTGCGTACTATCCCCGGGCCCCAAATTTTTGGACAGGTGGCTCCATCACTCCGACAATTGGCCCCGCGTGGCCCTTCCCCCCTGCGGCGCACCGTGGAAACGCTAGTCGAGTTCCTGGCGCAGGTTAGCCCGGACAAACTCACACCTGGCTCCCTGCTGCATCTGGCTTCGAAGACCCCCATGCGAGACGTCCGAGAGATGCGCAAGCAGATTGGCTTCGCCTCAAGCAGGACAAAGCTGCAAGGGCGAGGGGCGGGACAACGCAGAAGGTCTACTCCGCAACGCAGCCAACCCCCCTGCCGAACTTCAACGTCGCCGCTCCCCCTCTTCTGACCCAGACTGGAACGAACGCGCGAGGCACTCCCCACCTCGTCCCCGCGCAGCGCTACCAGCCCGCCATGCCACCGCCAGGCTACCAAGTCTCCAGACCGCGCCCGCGCCAGCCCTAGGCACGAGCCACGCGCCCAGACAGCTGCCCCCACGGGTGGTGACAAAATCACGGCTCGCCAGGACGGCGCCCCGGAGCCGGCCGACGCGGCCCCTCCGTGCACCCCGCCCACTGCGCCCAAGGGCCGTAAAAAGGCCTTGGTCGCGCCCCGCCCATCACCGAGCACCGATCCCGCGGTGGTCGCTCACTCCTCAGCCAGCCCCGTGCAGGAAGACAGGGCGCGCACTCCCACTTCGCCCGCCGAACCCCTTTCGGCCACCGCGCTTGCCTGGGCGGACGACAGGGGCCTCGCGCGCTCGCCTGGACAGAGCGCCCCGCGTTCCCAGCGTGCCCAGGGCCCGCCCGCCTACGGGCACGAGAAGCAGACATAACTGGAATGAAGGCTGGTGCGAGCGCCGCTCGCGTCGGCCGGCATAACGAGGCTGGCCGCAGCAGCCCCGACGGCAACCGCTGGGCGCAATGGCCCGGGCGGGACAAGTGGGAAATTGACGAGCGTTGGGGCAGATCCCCCCAGTCGCACGCCACTGAGGATGCCCCCTGGCCCTCCTATGCCAGCGCGCAGTCCGAGGACCAACCAGAACACCGCAATTCCAGACGCCGCCAGGACGACGGGCACAATCTCCGCGACCCCGTGACCCACCAGTACGTCTACCGGACCCCCCATCGACAGAGTACCTCGTCTCTCTGCAACCACACGGTGGGGAAGCCCCCGCAGAGACCGTGAAGAGACTCCAAAAGGACCTGGGCGCCTACTTTATCGCTATCTGGCAGTAGTGGACAACCGTGTACCTCCCGAGCACAGACATGATCTGCGCCGACCCTTCACTTCAGCAGCCTGATTCGTGCCCCCGCTTCCTTCGCGAGCGGGCGCGTTTCAAGTGCAACGCCTTCGCGATGGACGCAGACCTCCAGCTCGGAGTTCGCTGGAACGCAGTACGCGCACGCGTCCGCGAGAGGGCCGCGCACGCGGGCGCCCCCAACAAGGGTAAAGGCAAAGGGCTGCGCGGAGGGGGCGACGTCAAACGTAGCAGGACAACGGGCCCCCAGGGCAACCCGACTGGTTGCCCAGCCGGAGTATGCCTCTAGGCCCAGCCGCCGGCCGGCACAGCCTGGGCCGGGCGGGCGCCGCCTACCTGGCGGCGGGCCAGCCTGCCGCCGCGCGCTCTCCACTGACGTGCAAATGCCGCCTCGGACGTGTCGGGCTGGGGCCCATGGCCCGCCCCTGGCCCTAGGCCCCGCCCTCCAGGGGCACCTCTTGCGGCGCGCCCCCCCATGGAGGACTGCCGCCTCCCCGACTCGCTGTAGGCGACCAGGGGCCGGACCTCTCCGTGGCCTTCCGTGCTGCTGGTGCCATCGCGGCTTCGCTGCGCAGCTCCTCGCTGCCCCATTTTTGGATCCATGCCGGCTCCACAACGCCGATGATGCGGCGGGGTTGTCGCCGCGCGCTGGCCGAGGCGCTCTCCTCGTCGGCCCCGCCGAGCGGCGTCGACAATGCGATGACTGGCTCGAGCGGGGCCAGCTAACTCCTGGAAGGTCCGCAGCCTGACCTGCAGTGTTGTTGTTCTACAGAACGTTGATTGCGACCAACAGTACAACCTCGAGCAGCACGGCCAGGACCAGCACCGCACCGGCCAGTGCAATGTCCACGGCGCGTGCCACGGCGTGTTCCACGTCGCCAGTGCGCGCCTGCACGAGCGCTGTCGGGTCGGCCAACGCAACGTCGGGCAGCACGACTTCGAGTGCAACATAGTTGAGCATCCTCCTTCCTGCCGATTTGGGCCCGGCGTTCCGGGGCGGACTCGGCTACACCCCCGCGTGCCGATCCCAGGTAGATCGCCAGCATGGCTCAAGAACAAACGGGTTTTCCTACATCCATGAGGCTGTTAGCTGCATCCTACCAGAGTACCGGGTCTTCCCTGTCGTCGCCAGCGCAGCCTCTTGCGTCTGTATGCGGCGCCCTGCCAGAGATTCAGCGCTCCGCAGGCGACGCTACCCGCGTCGCCCTGCAGCGTGCATCCGCACCCCGGCCGGGCGACGGGGTGGTTCAGATGAAATCAACTTCCCTTTTTCTTACGGCTGTCAGCTGCCACCCAGCTGGACGTTGACCTCACACTGGCGAAGCTATTATCACCCCCAGCATCCTGCAGCGGCTTGCTTCCACTCCGCTTTGCTCTTGGTCGTGGGCGGCAACCGGCTATCCCCCGACTGCCGCTCCCAGTCCAACCTCCAGTATGTTTCAGGCGATAGTGTATTTTCTCACCTTTCTGCGGCTGTCAGCTGCGACCTACCAGAGCACAGGTCATTCCCACGCAGTGCTACCGCGCACCTTCTCCTCGCTCTTGGCAGCGGGCGACTTTCGGCTCCCCCCTCCGTTTGCCGGTCCCAGGCCAGCCCCCAGTTTGTCGCAGGCGAAAACACTTAGCTTTCCGCGGCTGTTACCTGCACCCTACCAGAGAATCAGCACACCGCAGGCGAAACTACCCCCCGTCGCCCTGCGGCTGTTATCCGCATTCTGCCCGTGCAACGGGTTGTCTCAGGTGGGCTATCTCCCCCTTGACTGGCGGCGGTCTGCTGCAATCCAGCAGAGCGTTTACACCATCTTGGCGAAGCTACTTCTCTTACCCTGCACCCTGCCGCTGCTTGTTGCCACTCCACCCCGCCCTTCATCGTGGGCGACCAACGGCTACCCCCCAGGTTGCCGCTCCCAGTCCGATCTCCAGTATGTCTCAGGCGTCAGTCACGCGGTGCCATCGCGCACTTCTTTCCCTGCTCTTGGCATTGGACGGCCGACGGCTACCCCCCCGTTTGCCGCTCCAGGCTGATCACCAGTGTGTCTCAGGCGAGAACATCTTAGTGCGTCTCAGGCGAGAACATCTTCTCCCACATTCCCGCGGCTGTTTGCTGCACCCTACCACAACGCCGGGCTTTCTCATGCGCTACGATGGCGTGCTACTTCCCACTTCCCGCGGCAGTCAGCCGCGCCCCCCCCCCCAGCGAGCAGCAGGTCTGAGGCGGCGCGCCCCCCCGCCCTGGGGGTGCTTGCCCAGTGGGCCAGAGCTGGTCACCCTGCCCGGCTGGCCCGGTCGCTCCTCCTCGCTATCGGCGCGCCTCCCTTTGCCTGCAGTGCCTTCGAGGCGTGCGGCGCGCTGCTCTTGGTCGGGCTCGCTCCCCAGCTCCCCCCGCGGCTCGTGGATGGCGGCGACCTTGCGGCTAGACCACGCAGCCCTGGAGACGGCCTGGCTGATGGATGTCTGCGCGTTCCACGCTTTCGCTGTTCTCGTGCCGGTGGCCACCGGGCGACATCTCAGCCGTGTGCATCGGGTTGGGCACGCCGATCGTTACTGCAAGTTCTGGTTGTTCGACAAGGGGCGCTCGTCTACTATTTGGTCTGAGCTCGAGCTGCGGCTTGCTTATTTTCTTTCCTGTCTTCTCATTATATTTCGCTTCTTTTGTCCTTATTCTGCCGATTCTCGTCCTTCTGTTCGTCCCGCTCTCTTTTCGTGTGTCTCTCGTTCGTTTCGCTTTCGTTGCGTAGTTCTCGCCACCGTTGTGGCCCTTTTCCGCGTGCTGCCTGTGCCTGGCCTGCGCTTTTACGACCTGTTTGACGCCGCGCTGCTGCCCGCGTCGCTCGCGAGCAAAAAGTATCCCAACCAGCCCGTGCAAAAATAATCACCAGGCGAGTGGGCAGTTGCGCTCATCAGGGATGTGTAGCAGCACGCAGTCACGCTTTGGGAGTTCCATTGAGGTGGGGCCATTGCGGGGCCCTCTCGAGGCAATGTTGGGGGTCTTCGGGGCGCATCGGGAGTCTTCTCGGGGCCCTCCAGGGGCCCTCTTAGGGGCCTCGGGGGCGCTTCTGGGGCCAACTTGGGGGCCATCGATCAAAGGAGGGGGAGTCCTCAAGTACCCCCCCCTTCCCCTCGGAGGCCGAAAACTCGCCTCTTGGCACTGCGTTCAGGGCCATGTTAGAGCCATCTCGAAGCCTCGATGGGGCCATTTGAAGCGAAAAGGCGGGATTGATTCTCATTAGGACTTGGACGGATTATGGCTTCTTGTGGGGAGGTCCTTTGGAGGTTCCGTGGCCAATTGCATCCGTCTGCGACGGTCACGGCGCCTTTTAGAGGTATGTTAAGCTATCTTGAGTCATCTTGCGTTTTATTGTGCGATCTAGGAGGCTGTGTTGGGCTATCTGGGTCCATCTTGGGGCCATCGCGCACACTCCAACCCCTCGCGAAACGCCCAGTCCAGGCCCATGAAGAAGGGAAGCGGGGGAGAGATACAACTGTCATGAGGTTGGTTGGGCGAAATAATTTCCGAAACCGCCTGCGCCTGACGCCTGACGGGCTGGTGGAATCCGAAAAGCCAGACACGCCAGGCACATGTCTGGCAGGCTGCCAGTGTGGCGGCGTTCTTGCAGGCTACGGGTACGGCAGATGACTGCCGCACCCTGCCTTTGGAAGTGCTTGTGTGGTGAAATGTAGAGGGAAGGTGCGGCAGCGCTTCAGCCTGTGAACAAAATTGGAAACAAAACGTCGCACTTTATAAATGGATGCACTTGCGCACAGATCTGAGCAATAACAACCCCAGCCAGTCCCATCGCGCAGGGCACGCACGCCGAACCATCGTGGGCCAAACACTATGCTAACATTCTGCGGCGTTTGGGTCGCGCCCCGTCGGCGGCCCTCCGCGCTCGAACCACTTTGAGACTGTCCAACCTTAGATTTTAATGTTATAATGGGTGAGGGTCGGATGGGTTTCAAACTATTCATACATGGCATAAATGTCCACACTGGGCGGCTCCCCTGCCGGTTTCAAGCTGTCTCGAAGGGTCTCAAAGTGCCTCGAAACCCGCGATTCCGAGCACATCCGTGCGTCTCACATGGTCTCACAGTGCCACGACACCCACGGCGCCGAGCGCATCCGCGCGCTTCACGAGGTCTCCAAGTGCCACGACACCCTTGGCGCCGAGCACATGCGCGCGTCTCAAAGGGTCTCAAAGTGTCGCGACACCTTCAGCGCCAAGCACATCCGTGCGTCTCACATGGTTTCACAGTGCCACGAAACCGTCGGCGCCGAGCGCATCCGCGCGTCTCGAAGGGTCTCAAAGTGTCACGAAACCCTCAGCACCGAGCGTATCTGCGCATCCGCATCCGCACCGTGATTGTTGTTTGCGTGCGAGACAGAAATTCGCAAATAGCACTCAACGCGCATTAGCTGGCGTGCCTGGTCTACTCCCCGCACCTCCTTCCGCGGCGAGCTCTGCACCGCAGTAGGCGCCGCGTCGCGATGGCGGTGCCACTTAGGAATGGTGTTTTCGCCTCCGCGCCAGCCAATGCCTAAAGGGGCCGGCAGAGGCCCGACAGGAAACATCAACCCAAAGGCCAGAGCTTCCTTCTCCTAGGGCACAGGAACCCAACCCAGCTAAGAGGGCCCCCCGGGGCCCCCACACGCAATCTACTTCCCGCTGCGAAATGGAGAAACAAATGGATGTGAATTGAAGTACGTGTCCTTTCGTGTTCCAGATCCCCTGACGGACTCCGAACCCCCCTCGGGTAGCAGGGTTCATCCATGATTGGCCAAACGTGGGTTGTCCCCAGCCTAGGATGGATGCTAGCCACGCTCAGGGAGGCAGCACGCCATGAATGGGGCTGGGTAATGTCAGCAACCTGGCTGTAAAATTTCCCGTCCAGACGCGTATGTGTTCGAACAACACCCTAGAATGACCGCCAGCGCGGTGGCGAGAGCACCATTCCGACGTCAACGCGCGAGCACGCAATAATGCAAGCACGCAACCATGCGTCATGCAAGAGTTGTGACGCCGAGTGAACAGAGTACCGCCCACTGGAAACATAATGACGACGCCGCAGAGAGCGCGGCCGCGACGCAAGCGCGGGATCCACTCCCAATCATTCACCCTTGGACTGGAAGGCCAGGGAATCGCCCATCGACATGGTTGTGAGGCGCCAAAGGCAGACAGTACCATTCGTTCGCACCCTGATGAAGGCGCCGTGACAAACTCGGCTCCGAAGCGAGCGTGGACACCGTTTCTAAACATTTCTTCTCGGACGTCGTCGTTTTCTTATTGTTTTGCCGATCGGCGCGGGCCCTCGCACCCCTCCCCCCCCATGGAGTAGATCTTGGCGGTTTGGGGCGCCTGTTTCGAGCAGGTGGAGCCTTCCCTATGGGACGCACGGTTGCAAACAGTCGCATGAAGCAGAGGTTTGGAGCCAGACCCCCCAGACCCCCCCCCTCCGCCCAATGTCGAAACGCCGAAGAAGATTCGCTCACGACTGTAATGGACTGCGTGTAGCCCCAGAGTTTGAGGGCACCACATGGGGAACACTCAGGAGGGTCCCCCTGGTGCCATCTTAACTATCTTGGGGCTCTCTTGGTCCTTCTCGGGGGCCTCTAGAGGGGTCCCGGGGATGCCCCGAGATGGGGCTTCGAAGGGGCTCCGAGGGGCCCCCCCTCGAGAGAGCCCCGAGGGAACCTTGGGGGAGGCCCGAGGGGGCCCCGAGACGGCCACGGGGGGGAATGAAGGAGCCCTGAGCGAGGGGCTTCGGGGAGGCCCCCGAGGGGCCGATTGGCCCACGGCGCCGACGACGTCCGACGTCGACGACGTCTGACGACGCGTGCGACGACGAGTGCCGCGAAGTGCAAGACGACACGAGCGACGACGTGCACAACGACGTGCGACGAAGACGCGCGTACGACGACGTACGACGACGCCTATGACCATGTGCGACGGCGAAGTGGGGGCAATCACCCCCTACGCCTTCGTCCTTGTCCCGCCCCTTGCAGTCCGATTTCGATTCCGATTGGGCTTCACGCGATCGGGTTTCCGACTCGATCCAGTTCGGCGTTGCCGATTTTGACCGATCCGATGGCGCAGCCGATTTTCAGCCGATGCCTTTCGATTCGACGTTCGTTTCGGTCGAATTCGATTTATCGACCCGATGCTGGGGCCGCCTGCATGGTTGCCGTTCGCACATGCCACGTAAGGTGATCCTGCGCGACGGCGTGATATTCATGAACCCACGTTTGAAATCACAGCATCGGAACACTTTGGTCAGGTGCACCTCTAGGGGTACATTGGGCGGACATTCAGGGAATGCGTATGAGGCGTTCCTTGGCAATGGCCTCCGGACCAGTAATAGTATCCACGAGGCATCGCGATGGGGGTCTGCGTCTTGTGTTCTTTCTTGGGGTTGTTGTTGCAGTTGAAAGGACCTCGACTGGTTCAATTCAGGGCCCCTCGAGCTTGTAAGGCGTCCCAGCCTAAGCTTCGGAGGTTTCTACTGCATTGTGGTCTGGGCAGGTCGAACCATATCTCAGGTCAGGAATATTGTGTTCAGATCTGCGGCATGAGCAGCTCGTTGAGGGATCCGTTGCTTCTTTCCTGTACGAGTGCGTGCTTGCATTGCAGGGTGCTTGCCAGGAGTCATTTTTTTCATTGGCAGAAGGCCAGCGTGGCCCGCAGTTCTCGAGCACCGTCTGGTTCTTGGCGCATGAGACAGGAATCATGCGTTCGTGCGACGTCGCGCAATTGGTTCGCGGCAGGAGATATTGTCCTTGATGCGCGAGCAGTCATGAGCGGACGCCTGGCAATCAGTTTGGTGGCAGACGCCTGGCGTATCCGAGTCGGCAGTTTTGAATTATTTCGCGCTTGGAGCGAAGTTGCCCTCTGCGTGTAGGGATGGGGCCAAGGCATCGTTGTGGGCCATGCGTTCTGCATGGGAATGTTTGGTGAGGACTCGTGGCTCTGCGCATTCTGTGTAAGCGTGCGTGGTGCCGTCCTGTCCCACCTTGGCTGCTTCTTCCTCATTCGTAGCCTTCTGCCAGCGAACCGCAGTCTCCGTCGGGAATCATGACGCAACCTCCGCAGCAGCCAACCCAGGGTCACCTCTAAGTTGAATATCCCTCTAGAAACAAGTGTAGGTGGTTTCGTAAGCGCTTCGGGTGGGGACAGCACTGGCCCAGGAATTTTGATCTTAAACCGGTTATGCCATGGTAAGCCGTTTCGCTGGTAGAACGCTCAGCGAAAGGTGTGTCGTCCGCCGAGGCTGTCCTGCATCTCGCACGTGCAGTCCCAGTCCGAATGCCTCGGCTGTGGCCTAGAAGAATGCGGTATGAGTAAGAAAGCGCGTTCGGAAGCTCAGTATGTTCAATATTGTTTCGGATGGCATTCGTATCTCTGCCGCGACCTCATGTCCCCTCTACTCGCACAATTAAACCGATGGGTGTCAATCTATCTTGAATTGCTTATCAGTTTCCCTTTGTGTTGCGCCTGCGACGGGCGCGCGTGTATTCGCGACGCTCGCGCTCATGGCTGCTTAATATCAATCTTCTTGGAGAGCAAGATTGAACTATTTAGTCGTACGGGATTGTGATTCCCAGCGAGCGCAGATCATTTAGGTCAGTGCCCAAAGCGCATCACGTCAGGCCAGCGCCATTAATCCATTGATACAGGCACCTGAAAATAGAGAATGTGTCTCCGCATCGCGTGTATGTCCAAGCCCCCATCTGAAGGCCCAGCCCTCGAGGCTAAACCTTGTCAGATCGAGCAACGCAGATCTGCTATCGTTGGTGTCCAGCATGTTCTTATTTTCTGGTTTCTGCTTTCCCCCGACTATCCTGTGGTGTTGGGTCTTCGTTTTGAAGAGAGCGCCTCGCGTATCTCGGGCTATGCCGTTCGTGCCCCCCACGTGCAAAGTGGTCCTGAGCTTACAGATGTGAGGGGTTGACCCCACCGTACTCCGTAGGCCGAACCGGTGTTGGACTCTTTCGGAGCGCCGCCGTTGCCACCCCCATCCCCCGTTCTCCCATCCTTGCCTCTGCCTTCCGCTTGTTTCTGTTTCGGCACATTCTTTCGACACCCCTGGCAGGTAGTCTTGGGGCGCCGGGGTGATGGGGGTTTTTGGATGAGGAGGAGGTGGAGGAGGAGGAGGAGGGGAACCCAGACCCCCGACGTCGTGATTGCTTCGCAACGTGGACGCCCGAGGTGGCTCCTTCCCTTGTGGCCCCTCCCCCCTTCCCCGAGTCGATTTTCTGGCCACGGGGGCCCGGCATACGTAAGAGCACCTTGGAGGCCGAAAATTGCCAAAGTAACTTTTGCTTTGAATTCTTCACGGCGCGAGGGGTTCTGGGTTCAAGAGGGTTGTGAAGACCAAGGGCGTGTGGATATCATGGCAGCGGCAATGAACTCCCCCAGATTTCATGGCCCCCCTCTTCTGCTTTCGTCCAATCCCCTGGCCCCCACTCGTCCGCGCACATGCCTCGGGCACTGAACGAGCATGAGCAAAAGTGACGGGCCACCAAGCATGATCGATCATTGAGCCACGGCATTGTGCGCAGATGCCCGAGAGCGCCTCTGGGAGACCGAAGCGCAGTGAAAACGCCCGAAGTTGGGGTCAGCTTCCAACGCGCCTCCCCGGCTGCGGCCGCGCGGTCCCGGGCGGAGGCTCCCTGCTGTTCCGGCCGTCCGCCGCTGTGCGCCCGAGGACGCGTGGCTCGGGGCTCCAGAAAGAACACCGGTGCATATGATGGCAGAATCCGTTTGCACACATGTCCGATGGGGAGCAGCGTGCGCAGCGGCATCGGCACGAGACAACCAGGCCCTTTTTTATCCATCGTTTCTGAGCCTCTTTCCGTGGGCCCCGGGGCCGTCACCAGAAACAACGATGAGGAGCCAGTCCCGGGGGACCCTGCAGTCTGGGACCGCGTTCAGGACCCATTCTGCTCTTCGGTCACAAATAAATTTGGTATAGGAGAGCACGTACATGGAGTGATGTATTCGTTTATCCAAGACTTGTTAGAATCGGACGCAGAGCAGCTATCACTGGAGAAAGTTTCGGCGTAGGTAAACTAATGTTCAGCATAAGTAGTCCGCATAATAGGTGACCAATTGAGTGCTAGGCTGAACACTGAACTTTCCCTTCTGCGCGAAGTTCGTGTTTACGCTTTGTTGCTCGTGCCCAGGATCATCGATGCCGCAGCCTGACCTGGCTAGAGTCCCGGATCACTGCTGGGGGCTGCGCTGAGGGACGATGGATGGACACGCGAACTTCTTGGCCAAGGAAGCAGCCATGCTGGGGGCTGCGCTGAGGGACGATGGATGGACACGCGAACTTCTTGGTCAAGGAAGCAGTCAAACTCCGTCGTTCTACGTCCTACGTGCTGCCTGTTGTCTCCTCTCCTCAGCCTCCCCCCCCCCGCTACCTGCCGTTCTGCCCCGGGGGAGCAGCGGGGTCGGCAAGCGGAAGCGCGCAGCAGTGCAGCATGTGCCTCGCGTTGCAGAAACCTAGGGGGTCCCCCACATTTAAAGTTGAGCATGTCCCTCTACAGGAGGAATATTCAAGAGTAGTCAAAAATAGTCTGGTGGCGAGTAGTTTTGAATCTGTTCGGTTTTTCTTCAAAACCCTTCTGTAGTATGACATCATGCCCGACCTAACCCTAATTCGACGGCGCGCCCAGCGGGGAAGGCAGAGGGGGCGAGCCTTCTCAGAGGGCAGCGCAGCGCCTCCGAAGCCCTCTTGCCTTCCGAGAGGCCCGCCAGGCCTCCTCCGAAGCCACAGTGGGCATCCCCGAAGGCGGGACCGCCGCGTTCTGAGAGAAGGCCTGCCCCCCCCCCATGGGGGGTTCCAAAGAGGGCCTTGCCTTCGAGGATCGAAGAAGTCGCCATCTCTTCCGCGGCGGTGCGGAAGACCACCCAAAAGTAGTCCAGACCCCGCCTAACAGTAGACCAGATACATCGCCGCAGCCCAGACCACCCATAAGTATATCATACTCCGCCACGATGTAGACCAGGCCACCAATTGCAGCAGGCCTGACCACCCACAAGTAGACCAGACCCCGCCCAAACGTATACGACACACCCAGCAAAGCGAGCTAGACCACCCAGAAGTAGGCCAGAGACCCCGCACGAGACCACCCACAACGTGACCAGACCCCGCCCACTAGACCAGACCACCCATCAAGACAAGCTGGACCACTCTAAAAGCAGACCAGCCCCCGCCTGACAGTAAACCAGACCGCCAACAACTTGACCAGACCCGGCCTACTAGTAGACCAGACCACCCATCAAGACAAGCCAGACCACCCAACAAGTAGACCTCACCCTGCCCAGAAGCAGATCAGACCGCCTATTAAAACACGCCAGATCACCCAAAAGCAGACCAAGCCCCACCAAACAGTAGACCACATCATCCACCAAAGCACGCCAGACCGCTCGAACGTAAACCAGACACCGCACAAACGTTAATCTGATCACCCATCAGTGCAGGCCAGGCCACCCGAAAGTAGACCAGACGCCGCGCAGAAGTGGACCAGATCACCCATCATGGCAAGCCACGCCGTTCCAAGGACCAGACCAGACCCTGCCCAAAACTGAACCAGCACCAGATTAAGCACGCCAGAGCACCCTAGAATAGACGATGCCCCGCCCAAAAGTAAACCACACCACCCATCAAACCAAGCCAGACCACGCAGATGTAGACCAGAGACCGCCCAAACGTGGACCAGGCGGCGTGCATTGCATAGCGTAGGCTGCACCACATAGATTGAACCACATAATTCAACGCACCGCATAGCTTGCACAACATATTTCCATTCATCGCATCACATGGGTGGCACCACATAGCTAACACCACGTGGATATCACCGCACAGATGAGTACGTTAGCTCCTACCGCACAGGTTGCACAACATAGCCTACAGCACACAGACCACGCGACAGACATTGCATCACGTGGCATGCACCACATAGTTTCACCAATTGCTTGCACTACACAGCGTGCGCTAGGTTGGTTGCGACACCTAGTAGTGCACATTGCTTGCAGTGCGCATCGTGCGCTAAGGACACATGTCGCTTCCAAACAGGAACGTGCCGATGCTCTCCGTCCTCCACGTCCCCCTCCCCTCATCTCGCCTCGCCCTGAGGCCCGTCTTGGAGGCCTCAAGGGCTGCCTCGTGGCCGTCTTGGGTCATCTAGGATTGGATACGCAACATAGGTTGCAAAACGGTGCCTCACATAGACTGCATCACATAGTTTAGGCCGCATGTATTGCACGACAGTGCGTGCAGCACGTAACTTGCGCAACTTAGATTGCACGGCATAGATTGCACCACATAAGTTTCACCTTGTATATTGCACCACCTATATTAAACCATATGCACTGCACCACGTTGATTGCGCCACATCGGTTTCTGAACATGAATGGGACACATACTTCACCACATTAATTGCATCATATAGTACCACTGCAGTGATTCTCCGCTCTGACAAAATATTCGGATCTCACCCCCCGGATTATCCCAACCCCTAAGGCTGTGGAATGTACAATGCACTTATGATGCTGCCCGCTCGTTCGTTCTAGATGTGAACTGATATCATCCTAGTCAAGCTGGTATCGACTTCCCGCCTCCCACCATGCCAAAAAAACATGCGCGCACACACCCTCATCTTCAAACAGATGTTTCCAATAATCCTTTGCAACAATTGTGACGAAGTGCACACGCGTGCGTCGTCGCGCGTGCATGCCGAAATGCTTCAACAACCTCAGGTTTCGTAAGGATTTCGTGATCGAGTGCCCCAAGAGCACATAAAAGGTCAATGGCTTCGCAACATCAACAATATCCCAACAAAAAGCCTGCGCTCGCGCTCTTGCGAATTCTAAAGGGAACCGCGGTTTTTCAACATATTGCATGCATGTTGCACTCAGGTCATCAGTTGGGTTGCGGGACTGGATGAGGAATTCCCCTACAGGCTAGTCTTGGCTCAAGGCCAACGCCGGGTGGCAGATCCCACTCAATCCCTTGGGCCCCATCATGCACGTGGCCGCGGTATTGTTGTTCACGGGCGCCGCCACGGTTGGCGCTGCATCTTCGTCGCCTTGGCGGCACAGTTACGACTACCAGGGCGTGGTGGAGCACTATTGCCACGAGCGGAAGGATTGGGGCAAGTTGCCAGCGAGACCCGAGAACGCGTCCCAATTGCTCCAGGTGCAGGTCTTCATTCGCCACGGGGCGCGGACGCAGTGCTCCACCAAGCCGGCTTGCTGGGCCGCCGAGGACCAAGACACGGGAAGTTACACGTGCGACCTCTCTTTCATGGAGAATACAGTGCTTGGAGTGGACGGTGCGGGCGGCCCAGCGGGGCCTTTTTTCCGAACGGTATACCTGCCGGGCCGCAACGCGTTGCCTGGAGGCGGCAATTGTATGGTTGGCCAGCTCGTCAAGAGTGGTTTCGATATGGAGGTCCAGAACGGCCAGCGTTTACGCGAGGCATACGTGGACCGGGAAGGATTCTTACCCGTGGCGCTGGCAGACGTCGATCCAGAGGTTTTCATGAAGGATTTCTTCCTCAGGAGCACGGACGTGCCGCGCACACGGCAGTCAGGGATGGCCCTCTTCACCGGCATTTATGGTGACGTGGACACTGGCCGAATGCCACACATCACGCTCAACACAATGGATTTCGCCAATGAGAACATGTTGGTGAGCAACGCCTGCCCAGAGGCAGCCCAGCTAGCCCAGAGGCGTTATTTCGAGACTTTAGAGAATGAGGAGGAGATCTTGAACCTGTGCCGTCAGCTTGCGCCGTCCTCGGTCGACAGCTCCTCCACGAATGATTGCTTCTGGTTCCTTCAGCACCTCGTGGATTGCCTCATGTCCCGGGCGTGCCCTACAGTGCCGTTCCAGCCGCACAACTCCACCATCCCGCCAGAGTTCCTCTCGGATGACGCGGCGCTCTTTCGGAAGGTGTGGGCCGCAACGGACACGGCACAGCACGGCTATTTCAAGGCGCTCGCGCGGCTCGGCATCGGGCCCTTCGTCGGCGAAGTGCTGCATGCGGCGAAAGGCGCGCTGAACGGAAGTGCGCCCAAGTTTCTCCTCTTCAGCGGCCACGACACCGGGCCCATGGAGCCTCTGTGGGCGGCCTTTGGGCTGCGCCCCACGCCGCCGTACTGGCCACCTTTTGCCAGCATGCTGGTGCTGGAGGTGTGGAACTCCAGCGGTGGACCCCTGACACGATGGATCTCGAACGGCGAGGTCGCTGGAGGTGGCACGGCGCCCTTCGAGAGTTTCGCCCACCAGGCAGAGGCACTGGTGCCAGGACGCGAGGAGTGCGAGGCCACAGGCGACGATCTGGCCAGGGCGCCGCTGCGGGGCCTCGCCCCGGCGTGGGGCCTGCCTCGCGAGGCCCTGTTCCGGCAGGACGGGTACGCGTTCGCAGCGTGCGCTTGGGTACTCGCGATGCTGGCGGGCGCGGGCGCGGTCCGTTCTGGCTTCTACGTTCATCGAAGAACGCAGGACAGGAGTGAGCGTGCTCAGTCGGATGTCCGCTCAGATTTCTTGGGTCGGAGCTGGGCCCCTGCTGGCGGTGCGTCTGGCGCCGCCCCCCTGGCGCGATTCGTGGGAACCCGCGCAGACCTCCGACAGTGTATGCTTACGTATGTTGTGTGTGTCTTCTGGGTCAGGGCAGGAGGAGGGGACCTTTGGAATGAGGCGAGAGAAGAAAAAGCCTCGCAGCGCAGCGCGTGCATGCATGAACGCATTCCCGACTTGCTCTTGCTTGATACAGTTCTGTCTCCATCTGGTCTCGCCGAGACCACTAACCACATGATTTGGGTGTTGCCGAAGACGCCCCTGGCCCAAGATGTTCCCAGGACTTCCAGGGAGGCCCCCACGCCCCCAGAGCATCCATCACGAGTCCCAGAGAGCCCCAGGGGGTGCAAAGTTCCACGACCAGTTGGGGACACCTTGGGCAAGAAACCTGTTTGGCAATCTCCGAATCATGCACACCAGCGCGGCACCTCTAACTCCAGGCGCTTGCGGATCCAATGCCTATCGTCGCTCCCACCCAGCACGTCAAAATGCAAGATTGCAGGGAACGAGCAGTCTGGAACCACAGAGCCGATTGGGTCAAAACACTGCCGCCACACAGCCATCTGGTTGTAAATCGAAACCAACGCCCAATATGTCTTTCCTGGCCACCGCACCCAGTTAAACATGTCAAGACAGTAGTTTGTACGTCGAGCATACAGCACAAGTATCCCCACACCCGACCACCCTTAAACTCGCCCGCTCTTTGAATCGCGCTTGGGTCTCTTGGAGCCTTGTCTCAAGGGCCTGTCGGGGACACCTCCTCCTCAACATTCCCCTCCTTCCTCCTCTTCCTTTCCCTCCCCATTTGGGGGCATCCTGTCATCGTCAAACAATGCAACATCCATATGTTTCGTCTCATCATGGGCGTTCTGTTGCCGACGCTGCATAATTCATGGCGGGAATGGGACGGGGCGCACATCCCGCGCAAGGCCGAAATGTCGTTCTCGCTTGGGCGCCGCGCTCACTTCTCTAGAGAATTCGGCTCCCGCTGGAGCGCGTCGCATTTTTCGCACGCAACTTCGTCGACGCGCGAGCGGGTGAGAATGTCACTCTGGCTCTGAAGCCGGGTAGATTTCGCTTGAAAGTGGCGCTACCGCCGCGACGCGGCGAATATTGTCCAATCGCTAACGATTGGAAACCCGCGCGAGTAGCGGAGCTCCGTGCGCACTTCGCTCGGAAGTGGCGTTCCCGCGCGGGCGCGGCGCATGGTTTGTTCGCCGAGTCGCCGTAAAGCGACAGCAGCTGCGGGGCCGCGCAAGAGCGGGCGAAATGCTGACGTCGCCCAAAAGCCGCGCAACTTACGAGTGAACATGACAGTGCTGTGTCAGCGCGGCGTGTGATTCGTCTTCGCCGCGCCCATCGAAAGTTTTGCCGCTCCCGCCCCTGCGCGGCCCGCGTATTTTGTTGGCTTTTCCGCGCCAAGTTTTCGGAGGCGTGGCCGCGCACGAGCGCCTTCCGAGTGCGACGTCGGAGCGGTTTTGGATCTCGATATCGAGTCTTCTCCCCCTCCTCCTTCTCCTCGTCTTTCTCCCCCTCCTCCCGCTGGTTACCCGGGCTGCTCAGCACAAATGAGTTGTTCAATCGGGTGCGTTTGCACAAGCTAAACGGTTACTGTACGACTACGGTGGTACTGGGTTCACTGTTTTGTGGAAGACGCATGTTAGCTCGAAATCGCTCAGTAATTGATGGGCCCCTATTCGAAAATATTGTGAGATTGCTCAATTTCGTTCGGCTCCTGCGTTCGATACTCTGCGGATCCAGCACACTCCTGTCCTCCGACGTCGCAATTTTGCTCGTGACGCGGGCCCTCTGACATCTCGACCCTTTCCCCGTGATTGCGGTTATAGTTCTTCGTTGGTGGCATTCACCTTTGTAGCCCAGTGTGGTTTTGCCCATACCCGTCGCTGATATTGGACCCTCCTCGACCTCCGTCTAAGTTAATTGCGCCAATGCTGGTCGCCGCCACTAACCCCTAACAGCTTTTGAATATAACCGCTTGTCCAGGGTGGCGCCAACGCTTCGCTCCCAAAACACTTCAACCAACCGATTGCCTAGTCTCACTAACTTTGGGTCGCGACTAGGCTGGCTGCCGCCGTTGGCCTCTAGCAGCCGCTACCTGGTCCCACTAGCCCTGGATGTTGCCAACGGTGGTAGCCGCCAGAATCTTGCACGACATCTTTGACTAGCACCGCTTGCCCTGAATTGCGCAAGTGCAGATCACCGCCACCACCCCTGCCTAGCTGCACTAGCCAGGGGTAGGAACAACGTGCGGTGTTGCCATCAGTTCCAGCCTTAACCACACTATCCCCCGGCGGCGCCACCTACTGACCGCGGTACTGACCAAGCGCCACTGACCGAGCCCCACAAGGCATCTGCATCGACAGCGCTGGCTGTCTGCCGCCGCTAGTCCCTACTGGCCCCTGCCTAGCCCCACTGTCTCTGGCTAGCGCGAAAGCTAGTTGCCTCCACTCGCCCCCACCAGCCTGCGTCTAATCCCACTAGATCAGCCGGTTGCACGGCACCGCTGGGGCCCCTGATTGGTGCCAGCGCTGGTCCCCGTCGCTGGCCCCAACCAGCCACTGAGTATAGCCCAGACTGGTACCAATGTGGGTCAAAGCCCTACGGGCCCTGGGTGGCGCCGCCGTTTGCCGTGACCTAGCCTTGACTAGCACTGTTTGGTCCCACCTGCATTGAATGGCACGGGCTGCAGTTGTTGCCATTGGCTCTTACCAGTTCTTGCCTAGTCTTGTTAGCCCTGGCACATGTGCGGGCCCACGCTCCGCTGTTATCTGCTCGCGTCATGGATTGCATTCAGGACGAAGCGCATCGTACGCGCACCCCCTTTACCCAGACACGTGTCTGTCTAGGTGGATTGTATGGTCACTGCGTCGTGATGATAGCAAGACTTTCGCGCTGCCTTTCCGCTGAATAGGCTCGTCAGGCTCGTGCCGAGGGCCAGTGCACGCTCGTCAAGCTCGCCGCGAGCAGTTTCCATGAGGCCAGAGGGTTCGGGCAGCTTGGCCGCGAGCAGGTCGGCCTCTGCGAGCGCTCCTTGGCAACAGCTGGCCACGCCTGTTCCTCCATTGCGGCTTCTCTCTGTACCCACGGCCTCTGCGCAGAGCGCAGGACTCGCAGCAGTGATCCAAGTCGTTGTTGTGCAAAGGCGGTGCTACAGATAGTCAGTCCCATGTGTGTTTGCGTGTTTCAGTTTCCGCAGCCAGAGGGCGCCACTTCGGCGCCTTCGCATTATATTCGCATCATGTCGTTAACCTTGACAAGTGTTCATGATCCAGCGCCGTTCTCGTGCGCACTCGTCAGGCATGAATCGCCTATCCAAGTATTGGGGCGCCAAGTAGGCAGCAACTCCGTTGTATTGTTAGGCATATACTTCCAGCTGGTTGACCATAGTTCGCCCATGGCGACAGCCTATCATATCCACGAAGCGATGTACGATGGTTCGCTTTTGGTCAAACGGATTCAGATTGCAGTTTCAATCGCGTGACATATGGATACAGCGGCGAGGCAGCAATTGCACGCGAACTGCTCGGCTTGCCTAAAGAAGGACGCGCACTTCTGGGAGCCCCGATGGCGCCCTTTGCAGGCGCATCCTCCTCATCCATCCGCCTTCCCTTCCCCCGCCCACCATTCCTTCAGAGCTCACCTCCCTTCTCCTCCCCCCACCACTCACCCCCCCCCTCCCCTGGAGGTATGGCACCCCTCGACCCCGCACCCCCCTTTTTTCTAGGGAAAGGGGAGCTGGACCGATGTCGCCGTGGGGGCCGTAGAGGTCGCGCCCGCCCGCTCGCAGTCGCGGCCGGTGTGGCCGTGTAGCGGTCCAGGCCGAGCCACGGGAGCGCGCCGCGCAATGGCGGGCGCGTTGCGGCCCTGGCTTTGCCCCGATCCGCTGGCGGCGTCCGCGATCGCTATTGACCGATCCGGCCAGCACGGGCGCAGGGCTCGTTCCAGGTGTTCGCCATGGGGGAAAGGTCTCCGTGGAGGAGAGGGTGCCTGGGGTCTTTCCGTCGTTTTCGGGCTTCGGGGCTCTCCCCTGGGCCGCGAGGCCGTCAGAAGACGCTTTCGGGTGAGAAACAGGAGGGCCAGGGCCCGCTCCCCGCAGGACCCGTTTCTGTCTTGCCGACCTGCTTGCCCAGGGTTACGGGTGACCGTCTTTTGGCTTGCGGAGGTGATGATCCGCAACTGAGCAGAGGTCTGAAGGCGATTGGATCTGTAGATCGGGACCGTGGCTGGCTCGCTTCGGGCGTTTGAGCACTCCCGTGGCGCTATCCCAGAGATCGCCCGAGAGCCCGCTGGAGGGGCTGTCTGGTGGTCAGATCCGACAGGGGGATGGGGGCGGGGCCGTCTTGGGGAACTCCGAAGCACGGTGACCAAAAGGCACGTGAGCGGCGTAAAGTCTTGCTCCGGCTGCGCGGGCATCAGCTCGGACGCAACCAACGTAAGGTCGGGGGTAGGCGCCCCTGTTTCCACGTTGCGTGCCGCGCTGGCAGCCTGCGGAGGCCAACGAAGAAGGTAGCCACGTCATTGTGCGTGGGACGCTTTGGTCGTCGTCGCTCGCGTCGCGGCGAAGCAGATTGTCTTCTGCAGCCCGTTGTCAACTGGCACAGTGGCGAGGTCTGTTGTCCAACCGCTTCCACATTGGGGCGTCAATCCACTGAGATGCTGGGAGGGCGCGGCGGGAGGCTACAAGGGCGTGGGTGGGAAGGAGTGGTGGGAGGGTTGGAGAGGCGGGTCTTGGAAGAGTCGGGAGGAAAATGAGGTGGAGAGTGGGGGGACACGTCGAATTACAGGCGAGCGATTTGGCCGAGCCAACTCAGGCCATAGGACGGTCTTCTTGCGCGGCCGCCTCATCGTAGTTTCCTCCATCTCTCTGTCTCTCTCTCTGTTTTCTGTATGGCTCTCCCTCTCTCAACTTCTCTCCCTCCTTCGCTGTCAGTATACAAAGTATAGACGTGTGTATTCCTCTCTCTTTCTTTTTTCTCGATCTCTTGCGCTGTTTGTTGTTCTCTCTCTCTCTCTCCCCCATATGCATGTCTCTCTCCCTAACAATATATCGCTTTATACATATTTGGTCATATATTTGTACATGGGTTCGCAACACAGTGCTTGCAACTTGGGGTTATCATTTCTCTTTTAAGGAGCTGGGCCGTGTGGGCAGTCTTGCGACTATGTTCTGGCCGTGGCCGCCGCTCCGTCGCCGCCTGTCGTCTGTGCCTGACCATCGGTTCCCTTTTTTGAATGAAGAATAGACTCTCCCCCCCCAGAGTTAACGATACACTTTTTCGTATTGCAATTTACATATGATTCTGCCCCATCGTCCATCCTAAATGCGAACTCATACTATCCCAGCCAAACCGGTATGACTCCCCCCCGCCATCCTCTGCACAAAGTACTATGCGCGCCCTCTCGTTTATCAAGAACCATAAGTTTTCAATAATCCCTTGGAGAAGCATGTGACGAAGTGCACACGCGCGCGTCGTCGCACGCACATGCCGAAATCCTTCAAGAGCCTTCGATGTCGGAAGGATTTCAAAATTGAGTTTCCCAAAAACATACAACAACACATGGCTTCGCAATGCTGATTTGCTAAAAAAACTTACGCGCGCGCTGTTGCGAAACCTTAGAGAACCATGCGTTTGTCAAGGTTTTCAAAACATACTGCCAAACGGGCTTCGCGCGCGCATGTCGAAATCTTTCGAACGCCCTTGCGCGCGTGCCGTCGCGAGAATCGGGACGAAGTGCAGACGCGCGCGTCGTCGCGCGCGAATGCCGAAATCCTTCAAACACCTTCGGAATCCTTCCAAAATCGTGTGTCCAAGAAACATACGAAAACAAAAGGTTTCGCAACCCTGGTTTTCAACAAAAGCGTGCGCACACGCTCTTGCGTCGTCGTCGTCGCCGTCCTCCCTCCTCTCTCGTCGTCGTCGTCGTCGTCGTCGTCGTCGTCGTCGTCGTCCTTTGTCTTTCCTCGTCGTCGTCGTCGTCTTGGCTTCGTCGTCGTTTCCCGCGTCGTTGCCGCCGTGGTCGTCCTTCCTCCCTCATCGTCTTCGTCGGCGTTTCGTCGTTGTCTGTGCTATTTCGTCGCCGTCGTCGTCGTCGTCGTCGTCGTCGTCTTCCCTCCTCCCTCGTCGTTGTCGTCGCCGTCGTCGTCCTCCCTCCTCCCTCGTCGTCGTCGTCTTCGTTGGCGACGTCGTCGTCCTCTTCGTTGTCGCCGACGTCGTCGTCGTCGTTGTCGTCGTCGTGGGCGTCGTCGTCGTCGGCGTTGTCATCGTCGTTGTCGTCTTCGTAGGCGACGTCGTCGTCGTCGTCTTGGTCGTCGTCGTCGTCGGCGGCATCGTTGTCGTCGTCGTCGGCGTCGTCGTCGGCGTCGTCACCGTCGTCGTCGTCGGCGGCGTCGGCGTCGTCGTCGTCGGTGTCGTCGCGGTCAATGTCGTCGTCGCCAGCGTCGTCATCGTTGTCGTCGTCGTCGTCGAAGTCGTCGGAGTCGTCGTCGGTGCGTCGTATTCGTCGTCGTCGTCGTTGTCGCTGTCGTCGTCGTTGCCACATGCCATTTGGTACATACCGTCACGGTCTTAAGAGGTCCTGCGACCAAGTTGCGGGTGGGAGGGTGGGATGTTTGCACGAGCAGCGGACAGGACAGCTTCAAGACAGGTAAAGTGAGTTGCATACAATAGATTGCATCACATAGATTGCACAACGTAGGTTGCACAACAGATACTTCGCCACATGGATTGCACAACGTATATTTGCGCCTCATAGATTGCACAACTTTGATTCTCCTTTCTTAATGAAGAAGAATCGACTCTACCCCCCCCCCGAGTTAACGGTCCCCTCTGGGGTATCGTGATTTCATGTTTATTCTGCCCACTCGTTCATCCTACCTGTGAATTCATACTATCCCAGCCAGGCCGGTATCACTCCCCCCCGCCATCCTTTGCAAAAAATGCTATGCGGGCGCACTCGTTTATCAAAAGTCACAAGTTTTCAAACATCCCTTGCAAACAATGGGACGAAGTGCACACGCGCGCGTCGTCGCGCGCGCATGCCGAAATCCTTCAAAACCTTCGATGCCGTCGTTGTCGTCGTCGTCGTCGGCGTCGTCGTCGGCGTCGTCGTCGTCTTTGTCATCGTCGTCGTCGGCGTCGGCGTCGTCGTCGTCGGTGCCGTCGTGGTAAACGTCGTCGTCGCCGGCGTCGTCGACGTCGTTGTTTTTATCGTCGAAGTCGTCGGAGTCGTCGTCGGTGCGTCGTAGTCGGCGTCGGCGTCGGCGTCGTCGTCGTCGTTGTCGCTGTCGTCGTCGTTGCCAAATCCCATCAGTCACTGTCTTAAGAGGTCTTGCGACCAAGTTGCGGGTGGGAGGGTGGGATGTTTGCACGAGCAGCGGACAGGACAGCTTCAAATTGAGCAAATTAGTTGCATCACATAGCTTGCACCACATAGTTATATGTGTATATATATGTATTGTTCACAACATTGATTGCATCACATCGGTTGCACCACGTATAGTTGTCTCAAAGAGTCTTGCACCACGTCGATTGCACCTCATATATTGCTTTCATGCGGAGGAGGAGGAGGAGGAGGAGGAGGAGGAGGAGGAGGAGGGGGAGGAGGAGGAGGAGGAGAAGGAGGAGGAGGAGGAGGAGGAGGAGGAGGAGGAGGAGGGAGGAGAGGAGGAGGAGGAGGAGGAGGAGGAGGAGGAGAGAAGGAGGAGGAGGAAGAGGAGGAGGAGGAAGAGGAGGGGGGTGGGGAGGAGGAGGAGAGGAGGAGGAGGAGGAGGCGGAGGCGGGAGGAGGAGGAGGAGGAGGAGGAGGAGGAGGAGGGAGGAGGAGGAGGGGGAGGAGGAAGGAGGGAGGAGGAGGAGAGGAAGAAGAAGAAGAAGAAACAGACGAAGAAGAATAAGAAGAAGAGGAGGAGGCGGGAGGAGGAGGAGGAGGAGGAACAGTGGGAGGAGGAGCAGTGGGAGGAGGAGGAGGGGAGGAGGAGGAGAGGAGGAGGAGGAGGAGGAGGAGGAGGAGGAGGAGGAGGAGGAGGGGAGGAGGAGGAGAGGAGGAGGAGGAGGAGGAGGAGGAGGAGGAGGCGGAGGCGGAGGAGGAGGAGGAGGAGGAGGAGGAGGAGGAGGAGAGGAGGAGGAGGGGAGGAGGAGGGGGTGGGGGGGGAGGAGGAGGAGGGAGGAGGAGGAGGAGGAGGAGGAGGAGGAGGAGGAGGAGGAGGAGAAGGAAGATGATGAGGAGGAGGAGAAGGAGGAGGAGGAGGAGGAGGAGGAGGACGAGGAGGCGGAGGAGGAAGAGAGGAGGAAGAAAGGGGGCCCAGAGCCTCGAGATGCGCCTCGGCAGAAACCTCGGACCCATCGCCTTTGGGCGCTGCCGTCGGGGGGTACGCGCCCGCTTCGGCCAGGAGCTGCGCTCCAGAGGGGCGCCCGAGGGCTGTCGTCCTCCGCGGTCTCGCCAAGGCGAGCCCCACCAGCGTCACGAGCTGTCTCCCGCGTGCGCATCCACCAGGGGCAACGACAGGGGGGATGGGCACAGGGGGGGGGGGGGGG